GGTTTGAGTTAGTGACAATATCTGCCCACCTGATCTGTTGATTGTTTTTCAATTGCCTTTGATTTTTCTAAGCAGATAGAACCGTAGGTCATTAAAATTACACACTATATTTAGATTACAAACAACTTAGATTACATCTGGATAACCACTAGATGGAAGCAGAAAATTTCAGCTTTTATTGCTAACTAATTGTCCTCTGAATTTCTGCAGCCCAGACATAGTATGCTTACTTTTCTACCGGTAATATTCCAAGGATTTATAGTTAATATAAGAGGATCTTCTTCATGTAGTCCAAGGCTTAGGCACAACATTCACTGGGAAAACAAACTTACAAAGAGAATGAAAATTTAGGAAAGATTTGAGTCCTTATAGTAGATTTAGAGACACATTTAGTTTAAGAATCCTCCTGCAAAGTCACCTACTACACTAAAGTACTCCTTTAGTAAGTTGAAAAGAGAATTGAACAGAAAGTTCTCTTTTACATAGCAGTTAAATCTGTAGCTACCTTAATCTGTTTTGTATCACTTTTATCCTTGTTCAATGTAAATTGGATTTAATAAACCAAATTTTAACAAACTGCACAAAATCTACAAAAAATCCTTGGTATTCTGAAAGACAAATCTATTCAAAGCCTATGATAAATATTAACATCTCTCTGAATTGCAGGACTTAAAAACATGTTTTAACTATTTCTTAAATATGTGTTAAAACTAAATAAATGCAAAATTGCTTTTTTGCCACATAGAAAGTTAACATTAGTTGTTGAATTTTAATAATATTCAATTTAGAGCAATAGTTTTTAAAAAATCCTTCATGCAGTTTTGCTGTTGTCCAAGAAGATAAATGATTTCAAGAAACAAAAGCTAGCAAAAAGCATGGAAAGAACAAAATTATTGATGATGTATGTTAAAAGAACTACAACTAGCTTTAGGAGCCAAACACATTTACATAGTAGCAACTATTTTTTCAAGGAAATGTTTAGAAATTAGTATGTTTAGAATCTTGAGGGGAAAAAGCAGCTGCTTCTCATAAATATGGATTCATTCTGTGAATAATTAAAAAAAAGATAATGCAAAGGAAGGAAGACAAAAGGGGACAAGAATCATTTCAGTTAATATAGAATGGAAATAGGCAAGCAAACTAACATGTAAGCTATCATAAAAACTATAGGAGTCTGGCTCTATCAAGACCCCTAAAATGAAGATTTATAATGAAATAAAAGTATTATTTACAATTTTTATTTTTAAAAAGGAAACATAGCTTTAAATATTTGACAGAGCACTTACAAACCATACATTTCTTATTCTAAGATAATCTCAAGGAAAATTGATTCTGTTTAGGCATCCTCCCAAATTAAATTAGAAGACTTATGAGAGTACAGTGTGTGTGTGTGTGTGTGTGTGTGTGTGTGTGTGTGTGTTCAAAAAAAAAATCTAAGACAGGGTATATAGACTACAACTCATGCCCATTTCAGCATGTTGGTTGAAGCAAGTGGAACTCCAATTCTGTTCAAAGATTGTAACTGGGAGAATAATAGTCAAATGAAAGAAAATAAGAATGAAAACAATTTGGTTAAGAGAGGGAAAGAATCATAGACCCCAAGATATGAATCCAATTTTTTTTGGCTCATTCTTTATATTTAAGCATTTGTTTTAGAGAAAGTTAAAAAAGTACACCATCTGCCATTGGAGATAAACTGTGGAACATAAAAAGGATATTAAAATTTAGAATGCTTAATTTAGTTTTTAGCTTCATATATATTTCTTGTATTAAAGTTACAATATAAACTTAAAAATTATGTCTGTGGAGATTTTCAGTCATCCAGGTCATGGATGTCCCAAAGGTGCTTTTTCAAAAGGCAGTTTCAAGAAGAAGAAAAAGTCCATTTGCCTTTTGAAAAATCATTTTTGGGTTAAAAACTATAACACACCTAATAAATCACATTTTGAGAAGCTGATTCTATTGGTGGATTCTTCCAAAGTAAGCATATCAGACTTTTTAAAGCACTAGATGGCAATCTTTCACTTTAGTAAGTTATCTCAATAATAAAATATTCTGTCTTGCTGTGATAGTTTAAAAAAAATTAGGTGAAGTAAATCTAAACTTAATTCTATTAAAACTAAAGCCTCGCTAATGCCAAACAAAAATTCAAGTGGTGATTAGTTTTAAGGTCAACGGGGTTCATGATGCTGATTTTTGTTGAATTGTACTATCTTAAAAAATGTCCCCTTGTATTATTTAATGGGAATGAAGCTGATACTGCCATATTTTTTATTATGGATTATGCTTTCTTGCAAAAATGATGTATTTTAAGGAAAAGTGAAGACATGGTCTCAGAAATGACAGCCTTTTCACATACAGCAATATAGATGGGATATGCAACGATGATGTGCCCGATTTTATGGATTTGCAAAGCTGATTAGGTTTTCATTGATGGAATGACATTATTAAATATGTTTAAAGAAAACATTGGGTAGAAGCCATTGGAATCTGTTGTTGGTTGCTTTTGGAAATATTGCTGTTGTAGACACTGCATATCTATAGTCCTCAAAAAGGGAAAATCAGACCCTTTGTGGCCTTATGCTACATATCACAGTATGATTTGATTTTTTAAATGAAAAAATTAAAAACTATAGAATTCAGCACCATGAAAATCTATTCTTGTTACTCTGAGGATAATGGCAGGAAAATTAGTTTCTTTTAATTTTGCTGAGTTTCTTTTGGTCACAACCATATCCTGAGGTTCTAGTACCCATTTCCAAATATCCTATCTAAGAAATGTGTCACATATCTTACAATTGCAGAGTATCATTTATTTTGATGTGTAGCAACACCCTGGCACAATCAGTGGGGTTAGTGCTTGGTTGAAGCAGTATCAATGATGATATATATGGACCAAAAGAGGAAAGGGTATTTTATAGTAATAAAAACTGGCTACTGTCATTTGGTCTTAAGTTATAGTACAAAGTTACTGTTCAGTTTCTCTGGAGCTTTGCTGGCTATCCCTCTATTCCCACTTCTTAATGATTTTAGAAGCCTCAAGAATCCCAACCATTTTCTTCTGAAAAGTGGGGCAAATTTAAATTAATCTCACTTTGACTTAAATATGAGTTTTCTATGCAAAAGAAGACAACAAGCAAAAACCTCAAACCTATTTTTATCACCTTGGTTTGGATTGCTACCATTTCATTTCTTTTGAAAGTGTTACTTGGTTTGTTGCAACCTTCCAGAAGCACAAAACCATATAACCTTACAGTGGAGTACCAATGGCAAAAATCTATTAAATCTTTTTGTTGTTGTTTCTAAAGGCTTAGCCTATATTATCAACACAACAAAAAGTTTTTTTATAGAACTCTGTGGACATCAGTTATGGAACATTACAATGTAGATTAGGCATTCTTGGATTGGTAAATTGTTCCAATATTTGCCTAATTGTTGGCAATCCAAAAGAATTCTTTGGGAAGGAAATTGTTATCTTAGAAAGAGCCAAGCAACATTCAACAGTAGCTTTAGCTCTGCAAAATCTCTTTAAGGAATTTAAAGCCATTTGTGCAGAACAGGGAGAGGCACAATGAGTTATTGCTTCCAATTTGGCTGAGTTTTCCTGGGAAACCATAGGGGGTGGTTTGCCCGTTAAAAACTTGCTTATTTTAGAATACCCATTACATTAATCTATAGCTGAAGCAACTGGTCTTCTGATATCAGAATATTATCTTCTGATGCCTATTCTTTGTAAAGTTCAGAACATAGCCAGTTATGTACTCTGCACAGAGCATGTTTTTTTAAAAAATAATAATGATAAAGGTATTTCTTTGGGTGATCATGATTCAGGGCAAATAAAAATAAAATTGGAAGAGAAAATAACTGTTACCTGGTGCTCAGTGCATGTTAGTAGCTATCATATTCTTGTTCGAATGACCATTTCAATTTCCATAAAACACTCAGTAAAAGGATGGGGAAAATTACTTTCACATTCAACATAAAGCATTATCTTTTTTTCTTTTCCTGATGAATTAAAATGAAATAACTATCATTCCATCATTTTCCACAAACCATTGATAACATCACAAATTTCCAGGGTATTTATAACCACTCAGTAAAAGGATTAATGCATTAACTGAGTTACTCAATTGTCAGTGTGGAATGAGGCAAGCAGTGGCAACCTTATAGATTTATTTTAAAAAGCAAGCAAAATAAAATCTATGGAAACCTTGGCACCAGAAATTCTATCAATTATTGATTTTTAGTAATATCAGATCACCATAGAAGTTCAAAAGATTTCATCTGAAAGAACTAGAGGACAAATTTCAAAGCTTGTAACTTAGCATCTCCTGTTTATAACATTTTCCCCCAGGGTTATACAACACATTCCATAAATCAGTCGACTTAAGTGTATATAACATTGCTCAATTGTGACCAACAGATTATAAAACTCTTGCAACATAGCAGATACTCCCAAATCCTCCAGAACTGAGATGTTTGACTATACCATTGTATATACTTCTTTGAACTCACTAAAATGGAATTAAAAGAAATTATCTTCAAAGCTTTTAATCACAGAAACTATCCAGACCTTTTTTTTTTAAACTCAATAGAACTGACTTCCAAGTAATTGAGTAAAAACTTGCAACCTAACCATAAGTGAAGAAGCCAGCCCAATGAGTTACTAAGATAAGTACATAGATTGTGCCAATGGTCATTTTATTTGTCCCCTCTATTTCAGATACATTATGCTAAAGAATGCGGAAGAATGCAATAAAGCAAGCTTTCAACGTTTTGCCAGTTGGCAAAATCCTTTTTTTACTGACAATAACTCGAATCCCCAATAACTCGAATTTCCATCTGTCAGAAAGCTAAGAAACGAACTTAAAAATAGGCGTATGTCACTTTTCTGGATTTTTGGGTACCTAGCAAATATAGCGCCCCCATCAGTTTTTTTTTTCTTCCAGCAATGGGAAACAACCGTCGATTTGTCGTCTGAACTGTCTTGCGCAACCTAAAGGTAGGCCCTTTATTTTGCTCTTTCAAGGTGCTCGGCTGAAAATCGCCAACAATCTGCACTGAGGTACAGTAGGAAGGGCCGATGTGATGGAGGAAAGTCCGTCTGTGAGGAAGCGTGGCCGGCAAAGAGTCCCGCCGGCGTGGCCGACCAGAGGGGAAAGGGGAGGGGGGGGAGAGGGTCGCTTGAAGCCCAGCGAGGCGCCCGCTCCCGCTCAGCCCTTGAGATACTCTGTCTTGAGGCGGCTGAGGCGGGCGCCGTGGCTCCGGACGGTGAGCGCCAGTAGTTCGTATTTGTCCCGCAGGCCGGCCGAGACGGTCAGCGTCTCCTTGAGAAGGGCCCGCGCATGCACCAGCATTCCCAGGAAGTCGTCGTTGAGGCGGCTCTCCTCGTGGCTCTCGTGCTCCTGGCCCTGCCGGAACTTGTTTTCCAGCTCGCCCAGCGACTTCTCCGAGTTGGCGTAGGCGTCCCCGATCTGCGCGGATTCCCTGCGCAGGTAGTTGCCGTAATTCTCCTCGCCGTCCAGGTCGTAGGCGATGCTCTTCTGGATGCCTTCCAGCACGCGCGCCGCGTCCTCCACCTGCCGGCCCAGGAGGGTGAATTCCTCGCGCAGCGTCAGAGCGGGCGCCGCCGCCGCTACCGCCGCGGGATGCGAGCGTTCACCCTCCCCGTCCGCTGTGCAGCGGCGAAGGCGGTCGCTCACCCTGAAAAGCAACTGACACTTCTCCGGGTCGTCGTTCTCCTCGTAGTCCCCGTCGGGCACGAAATAGTGATGCAACGTCCCGTTGGACATCTCCGGATAAAGCGGGCCGTCGAAATAGCCGTGGCACAAGCTGATGGAAGAGCTCAGCAGCCACACCGACAGGACTCCCAGCAGCATCCCGGGGAGTGGGAGGGATGAAACCTGCCCCGACACCCTAAGCGTCCCGAAGTGGAAGAGGGCAAAGAGGCAACTCCGGTCGCGCCTTGTTTCAAGTCCTCCGGTTGCGGCCGTCCTTATTGCAGGGCTTCATTGGGACCCGCTTGGCCCTTCTCGCTCCCCGCGGAGAGTTCTCCGTTGCATCCGATTTGCCCGCGAGAACTTTGATTTTTTTTTCCTCTGGGAAGGGGGTGGTGGGGGGGGGGGAGAGATTAACAAACCTTAAAAGGAGGAGCCTCTGGCTTCTTTCCCACCAACTTTTCCTTAACCACGTTTTCCTTTCTCCTTCCTCCACGCGCGTTAGGAAACTCCCACGTTAAAAACGGGGAGGGAGAGAGGGCGTGCTGGCGTCCAGATTTGACTGAGACCTGCCCGAAGCTGCTGCAAGCGCTTTGGGCTACTTTCCCCCCTTCTTCATTCTACATCTGGATTCGTGCTGCTAACGCGGGACTTCAGCTTTTGGCCGTAGGATCTCTCTTCTCCTCTCAAATTACAGCAGTGGGCCCCCGTTGCTTACGGAGAAGCCCAGACACCAAGTTTGGAATGAATCCTTACCTCAATGTCATTATTAAAGCTACAGTATCATCTCTGCTTGGAGAGCCCACGATTCTACAGGAGAGGACTTTCCTATAGAGGAAAAAAAAATCCTGTGCAAGGGGGATCTTGTAAAGATTCTTCATCAAATCAATTTTTGGGTCACAAATTGATTCTCAGCAACCTGTTTCCAGCAGAAACTCCAGATAAGGCTGGTCAGCCTATTTTTGAAGATCATAGCAGGAGACTGGTTTTTGAAAATGATTTATATGCTTTAAATGTAATAAAGGCATTGTTCACTAAGCAGAGTAAACATAAGGAACTTCTTTTCCTGGGCTTGTGAAAGCGGTGCGGAAAAAACAACTAGAAAGTAACCTTTATGGAATATTCAGTGAAATCATGAAATGGTTAATGAAAACCAGAGTTGTGTGTTGTTGTTTACAAAGTACCGCTTTTCTATTTTAAAAATAGAAATAATAGGAATCCAAATGACACAATGGAATCGTGCAACATAGAATAGAGTTGAATCATCTCTACTATATTTAACAAATGTCCTCTGCCTCTTGTTCTGGATAGGATGGCCTGTGTTCCCACTGGCAGCTGTACTGTAATCCAGGGCTTCCTAATCCCTGGGCCATGAACCAGTACCGTTCTGTGGCCTGTTAGAAACTGGGCCACCATAGCTGGAAGTGAGTGGCAGGCAAGTAAGCAATGTGAAGCTATAGCTATATTTGCAGTCACTGCTCAGCAACTAGCATCACCGACCCAGTGCTAGCTGAGATCATCAGGCATTAGATTCTCATGGAAGTATAAACTGCACATGTTAGGGATCTAGGTTGCATGTTCCTCCTCCCCCCCCCCCCCAATTTGTGGAAAAAATGTTTTCCACGAAACTGGTCTCTGGTGCCAAAAAGGTTGGGGACTGTGATTACAAGTTGATTACAACAGTGATTTTCAACTGTTTGAATTCAGTTATCATTTCCTTCTTGGTCCTCTCAAATCAAAAGACTTCTGTTCTTCCACTATATCCCAGCAACTTTGGACAAATAGTTGTACGTTACATTTATATCTCACATTTAATTCAAGAGTGCAAATTGGCATACAGAGATTACTCTCTTCACATTTTTCTCCACTGCAGCGGCCCTGTGTGGTAGGCCGGGCCAAGAGATTGCCTCCAAGAGACCCACTAGTTTCTGTGAGTCAGGATGCACTTGATCTGGATTTTCCAAGGGACTATTCATCACTTAACCCACCACACTGGTTTGTCTAGCAAAGCTCTGGATTTCTCATACTGACCATTCTGCATCATTAAAATGCCTGGTGGGTTGACATATCATTTTATATTGTGAAAAGAAGACGTCGGACTGAAACAATATAGTTCACATTTCTGTCACTGCCTTAGTTGAGTCACATTACTGCTAAATCATTTGGTAAACTCTCCAAAGGAGCCACAGAAACAGAGGCTATGAAACTTGACCAACAAAATCATGCCCTCCCTCCCTTCCTTCCTCACCAATGTCTAGGCACACCTTAGCCAAATAGTAAATGGAGTAAGATCTCATGCTTGGCACTATCAAGACATTTCTATTTATTTATTTAGAATATTTATATGGCCACTCACTTTTAGTGACTGGGTGACTTACAAACATTGTAATCATCCTGGCATTTTCCCCTATATGCATCTTTAGTACCTGACCCAAAAATGTTAAAGCTGGCAACAATAAGTGTTTCAAAATAAGTCCAGGGTAGGAAGATCCAGGAAATGGCAGGCATTAAACATTTAATACATGTTCCAGGCAAATTTGAAGAAGGAAGAACAAGCATACAGAACACATAAACTTCGCAGAAGAAGAAATTAAATATGTCTTGCAAATAGTCCTGTTTTACAAGTTCCTTAAGAATACCAATAAATATATCAATGAAGGAATCTAGTACATAAAATTCCTTGAAACAAAAATTACAGTTCTCTACTAGCATCCTGTTACGTATTACAGAGTTGTAAAAGAATTTCCTTAAAGTGGATGAACTGCTTTAAACTGTCTAGCTTATGTTCTTATATTTATAGAAGAACGTATCAAAAGTACTATCTAGGGTTTTTGGCCTATTCAGCCAAACTCATTGTTAATTCTCCCAGTGATGGGCAGATTCTTAAAGCTGTCGCAAAATCCACTGCTTCATCAATTAATTGGGGAGGGAGGGGAAAAAGTCCATTTTCTTCTGCATCCAAGAAACATCTTGTTGCCACTGTGAGAACCAAAGTGTTGGACCAAGATGATTTGATCACATGACCCCGGGATGTTACATTATGGTTGTCAAGCACCCAAATGTATGGTTGTCATACATTATGGTTGTCAAGCACCCAAATTTTGATCACAAGACTGAGGATACTACAGCAGTTGTAACCTCAAGGACAGGTTGTAAATAACTTCTCAGTGCTGTTGTAACTTTGAAGGTCAAACGAATGGTTGTAAGGCAAGGGCTACACATCTGGATGTATCTGGAAGTTAGATACAATAAGATATTGTTATTGGAAGCAATAAGATATTTGTACTTCAAATACTTAGGAAGATTAGTTAGGAATTAGCTGCTATGGAAAGATGACAGAACAAGGGCTCAGGTGTTTATGCTCCTCACCCATCAGATAGTCAAGTTTTTTCCTTTTGAATCTCATTTATGAACCTTTTCAAAGCTCAGCATGCCAGGCATTTTTCTACCAAGACAGCAAGGCTTTTGTTAAACTTTCTAATCTTTACAATGATAAAACAAGTAACTATTGCTGTTTCAAAGGCCTACGAAATAATCCAAATAATCCAAACAGGCAGTTCCTCACTCTATTACAAAGATTCATAGAGCTTCCCAGCAGAACTTAATAAGCAATGGGTGGTTAAAAGCAGTTATGCTGACTTAATTGGTCCCACTCCACACTTGCTTTTTTCTTTCTAGGATTCTTAATTTTCTTGATGGAGTTTCTGGAAGGCAAAAAGCATACCCCGCTCCTTCAGTCATAAAATTAATGGATTTTCATACAAATATGCCTTTGCGGGTTGCTTTGTGGCTGAAGTATACATCACATTTCAATAGGTTTAAATTAAAAGAAGATGGTTTAAATAGTTCATGGGATGCTAGCTAGTATGGCAAAGAACAAAGAAAATCTCTCTGATGCTTTTTCAAGCAAGATCAAACTGGGCTGCATTAAAGACGTCAGAAAGAGGAGAAGGAAAAAGCCAGGATTAAACCATTTTGTCATCTATCTATCTATCTAT